TCTAGCAAGTGCTAAGTAGCAAAAAAAAATCAAAGGCGAAATATTCAAACTGAGAGTTTTAGCTTTTCAGACTCTTAACAAAAAAGTGAAAGCTGCTCTCAACAGATTACAAAATCATGGAGGTCAGCAAAGCATCAAAAGAGATATCAAGATTACACATACAGGACCAGCTTCCTTCTGAGATAATAGAAGATCACAATCAGGTGAGTGATGACTTACACTATCAGTAAACATGAAGAGACAAGGTAATTGTATCTACTGAGATAGGAGAAGACAGGAACAACTGGCATATGCAAAAACTGATGTTCTGGATGAGACAGGCCCACTGTAGATTATTTACTCAGTGGGCCTGTCTCATCTACAGCTGATATTACAAACTTAGTACTGCAGCCGCTGATCCTACTGAAGACATTTTCAAATAAATAGAGAGCAATGCTGTTCCTGGCTTAAATATCATCCACTGGCTACACAGAAAATTGCACTGTAAGTAGAGCACTGCTGGGATGGAAGACTTAAGTGAATCTGTGCTGGGATCAAATCTTGGAAATATGCCCAGAAAAAATGGAATGTCAGATTTAAAGAGCTGACTTGCATCCTGCTAAAGAAAAAGTTTTAAGAGCAGCAGTTTCTCTGATTACCTTAATAGAAAATAGCAAGTTGTTACACAGTAGACCAAGTGTGATAAAAAGATATAACTATCTTTAAGATAAGAATGAATTATACCAAGTGAATTACTTCCTATTTTAGGGGTGGAAGAGGGTGTGCAATTATAGTTTCTTATTTTAGATGAATTTTTTCCTCCTTCCTTCTCCTTGATTTCACATGTTTCTGCATGAAGATGTCCAAAATGCCTTGAGATTTTACCTATGCAGATGTTTAAAACTTGTCACCTGGGGGTAGCAGGAAAACAATCATTTTTTACCCACAAGTCAAACTTTGGCATCCTTATTAAAATAGAGAGACATAGAATGTTACTAGAAAAGCCTCTAGTTGCTTCCTTTTTTAAAACATAAGGAATCAATGACTACAATAGTAAGATAATGGTAATTAATTTCTTCAGTTGGTGGTTATCAACCTACTGTTGGACATTTAAAGGCAACCATTTATACATGCTCAGTGCAGTGATCTCCAATTAGAAAAACTATTGTAAAATGGACATCATTAGTTTACTCTTCTGGACAGATTTTTATTATTCACGTTTGCAAGAAAGTATTTGTTTTTAAAAACAAACCAGAAACTAAGATACTGATGTAGGTAAAATAATCTCTGTTTGGGTATGCTAAAAGCAGGTAAACACTGGGCCTGGGAAAATTAATTATGGCCCAAAGTGTGCTGGAGTTTATTCAGTTGTGCTAATTGTACATGTAGATGTACCCCTTCTGTATTACATGCTAGTGTGTCCAGTAGTGACAACACAGCATCTTGACAATGGATCTAGAAACGATATTACTACAGAGCAGTCTGCAAATGTACAGTGGTCTGACATAAGTGCTGACACACAGGAAAATGGGAATACTTTGTGTGATGTTGTTACACTGCTCAAGTCAGTCACTCAGTAAAATTCACTCCTTAAATATTTACAGAAATGTTCTAAAATAATGCTCAATGCTTCTTATTCCTTTTTACGACTAAAAATTGTCAGACAGAATCAAGAAACAACAGCAGTAGATGCTTCGCTTTAACTTCTTGCAGAATTCACACAAAACCACGTGTGACATTTTTAAATGGAGGCCAGGTACTTCAAATGCTAGGTGAATAGCCTTATCACATAATTCTAGTCTGTTTATAAATAGTGCTTTTTAATGTTTTGTATGTTTGCAAGCACAAATTTAGTGGGAGCAGGCTACCCATCTTATTTTGATGTCATACTGGGCACATCTACATGAGACACTACATTGCTGTAGTGATGAGCTACGTCGTCATAGCTCAGTGCTATGGCAATGTAGCATCTAAAAATAACAGTGCACTGGCAAGACTGTGCAGTACCAGTGGGTACTGCACAGTCATTTAGTACTTGCTCACTGCTAAAGCAAATACTAAATGACTGTGCAGTACCAAATGTGCAGTCAGGGGCATGTGCAGATGTGCCCGCTCTGAAGTGAACCAGGACTAATAGTGTAAGGGATTGTAAAATAGGCGACAAAGTGAATTAGAATTTGAAAATATCCTGAAAAGCTAACAAAAAACAGACTTCTCATAATACAGCCTTCTAATAGTATATGCCTACACCATAATAGAATAAATAGACATAAATTATTATGGGACTACACATTAATAGAGTTAACATACTGAGATGTACTCAGAGTTTATGACCATGACTAATAAGGAAAGCAGGCCAATGTGGCATCTTAACCTGTAAGATGGTACACTAACCTGCCTTCTGCTTATCTTAGACTAACACAGCCAACTACCTCTCATTACCAATATATCTCTCAATTACCCTTGTGTGTATAGAAAGTAATACCACTGAGAATCTAGCCCTCCCTGAGCTGGATCACTCATGTTAGCAAGATACAGAAATGTGTTCTTTTAAAATCTTGCCACTTTTAGGTAATATAAAAAAAGGTTAAATTCAGCTTATATTATCTATGGGTGTGTCTACACATGCATTTACTCCAGTTTAGATTTACTGTGCAGTAAGATACTGTAGAGTAAGGGTTTTTGGGTAGGTGTCTACACATGCACAGATTAGAGAACAGATTTGCTCCCAGTTCCCTGAAGCCCTGTAATGAGCCTCTGTGGCCAGTGGAAGGAGCTCCAGGCTCTCCCTAGGTGTTAGCCCAGAGGCCGCCAGGGAGCACTGGGCTAAGAGACAGCTGTCTCTTGGTCCTGGGGGGCTGCCTGCTGCTGGGGTAGGGACAATGTCCCCTTGCCTTAGCAGCAGGGGGCTCATGGCTCCCTGATCAGGGGCACGGGGCTTGGAAATATTTGCAGGCTAGGAGCTTGCTGCTAGCTGCCCCACTGGTGGATCAGAGCAGGGGGTTGGGACCTGCCCCACCCCTGCAGCTCTTCCTCAGTGCGGTGCCTCAATCATCCAATTGGGGCATAAAGCTGGGACCTGCCCCTGACTAACTCCTGGCCAGCCCCAGGGTTGTGCAGGGAAGTCTGTATGTGCAGCCCAGAGCTGGTTGGGGACTGCCCAAAACACAACAGTCCCCAGTCACCTCCAGGCTGCACATGCTTTCCCACACATCCTGGGGCTGGCTGGGAACTGTCCTGGCCAGGGGCAGGTCCCCCATGCAGGGACGTTCCCCATGCATGAACTGTCCCCATGCAGGGAGCTCCCAGCCCCTGCTCCATGACTGCAATTACAATTGCAGAGTGAGGGCTGGGAAGCTTGTTCCCCATAGAGCTCCACAAGTGCAGAGCTGCAGGGGGAACAGGTAGGGGAGCTTGTTCTCCTCCCTCCCCCCAGCTCTGTGCTCACAGGGCTTAGAGGGAAAAAAAGCTCCCCAGCCTGGTCCCCCCGCCAGCTCTGTGCTCATGGAGCTGGGCAGGAAAGAAGCTCCCCAGCCCCCACCAGCAGGGAGCTCCCAGTACCAGCTCTGCAACCATTGAGCCATTGCTGAGAGATGCATTTCTCCCAGCCTGAGCCCCATGATTTCAGGGCTTGGGCTGGAAGACCCTTGTCTCCTAGCCTGAGCCCTGTGATAATGGCGGATAAAGGTCTTCCAGCCTAAGCCCCACAACTATGGGGCTCAGGCTGAGTGATAAGCATCTCTGAATCTAAGCCCTGTGACCATGGGGCCTGGGTTGGGAGAAAATGGTCTCCCAGGCCCCTGCTCCCTGATCACAATGGCGGAGCTGAGGCTGGGAGCTCCACAATGGCAATCTGGGAGCAGGGGGCTTGAAGCTCCCTGCTGCCAGGCCAGGGCAGCAGGCAGCTTCCAGGGGCAGGGAGCTATCATCTGGCCCCTGGTGGACAGCTGACAGGGAGCAGATTTGGTTATCAGACAGGCATCTACATGAGTGCTACGGCACCATTACTAATTCCAAGTACATTTGCTACTTGCATTTGCAAGCATGTAAGCATTTGTAAGCATGTGCATGTGTAGACCCACATGCTTTCTTCACAATAAACTATGTTAATTCACCATTAAGTGTCTTATGTAGATGCACCCTAGGTGTACTCCAGACTACTGAATAGAAGGATCATTTGGAATCCTGAAAATACAGTGAGTATCCATCTCCACTGTTATATAAGGTACAGACAAGATATGAAAGGTTATCACTGTACCATAGTACATCATCCAGCCAATCCCTTAACATATATGAATATGTGACCCCAGCTGACTTCCTGCCCCTGGGGCAGGGGGCCGGACTCAATGATCTTCTGAGGTCCCTTCCACCCGTAATGTCTATGAAATCTATGAAATAATACATAAGATAGATAGTTGCTGCAGATACTAATCACTTTAACTGAACAGTTTCAATAAAAGGAATGCATCGTTTTTTGAACTACTTGATTTTTTTCACACGATAAAGTAAGTGCAGCCAACCATGCAGTTCATCTCACCTCTACTTTGATAGCAATTCACTGTAATTCTTTGTATGAGAATTATTTGGCAAATAGAAGATAGATTAAGTATGAACAGGTAGTTAATCAACTTCTGTTTAAGAACTGACTGCAAACATGAAAGCATTGGAACACCAATTTATAATAGACATTTATAAATGAGATAAATTTTCACATATGTTTTACAAAGTACAGGGAGGCAAGCATTTTAACATGACCAAAAATGGAGATGTTTTTCTCAACTTCCTGACAAGTCTTCTGAAATGCTTAGTAAAGATGAAGAATTTAAAGAGGAATAGCAAATGTTTTAAATATTAAAGCATGGACTGGATTTTTGTTATATGAGGAGTGGTTGGAGCAAAAAGTATTTAAATTGTTTCATGGTATAATTTACTGTGTCAGTGTAAGAAAGACTAGTACATCAGGCATACAGTTAATACATTTTCATTTGTCATGGATTCTTTGTAAAGTGAAACTCTATTACCTTTCAGTAATGCTGTCAGGATAGCTAAATCAATGTCCTGATGTCCCTCCGATCCCATGCGAAACACCGTAATCTGCAATTTTAGAAGACAATGCTACTGTTAGAAACATGTTCATTTTCTCGAATACAGTATAGAAATTAAATCAGTGCAGCATTTGATATGAAAACATCCCAATGGCTGCAGGATGACTGTCAAACAATAGTCAGATAATGTGAAGTATATTAGATAGAATTACCATAAATAGGATTTTTATGTAATAACCTTCACCAGAAGTGGTGGCAGTAAATTCTGTTAAATTAGCATATAACAAAACCAAGGCAATTTGTTTCTACTGATAAATAAATACAGGACTTAAACTGAAGATTGAGTAGCATACCTAGATTTTAAAAAAGTTAAATTAAATAGATCCCCTTTATTCCTTCAGCTGAGTTAACCAGGGATATGTTTGGTACAATACATTTATAAATATAGAAAGAGATAATGGAATATGACCTTTTCTAGATGTTTACTACTCAAACATCTTACTCAGCACCATTACTTCATAGAGCAGAAAGTTAGCTATCTATCTGCCTTGCATTGTAAGCAAGAATAAGGCTTATAATGAATGTTGAAGCAAGCTTGTTTTATGGGGTCACTGACCCAGGTCTAAAATACAGAAATTTCTTAAATAGTGAGGCTCTTGATGAGCATACATCCCCTGTAATTAGTGACTTATATCCTATTACTAGTCACTGACAGAGATGTGTCTTTCCTGTAGACCATTTAAGCCCTGGCTACAATTAAGGTGAAATATTTAGGTAAATTCTCTTGCCTTTTTTTCTATGAAGATACCTGCTTTCACTCTTTTCCTCCCTGTTACTGGAACAAAAGGGAAACAATGGGCATCCCAAACGTTTTGTGTGTGTGCTTGTGCATGCATGTGCATGTGTGCACACACACATGCTATTTCTCCAAAAACACCTTGAACATTACAGAAATGTATTTCTCTTCTTATATCAGTTTTTTCCCTGTTCCCTATGAGAACTGTCATTATATATTGCCTCCAAAAAATAGTTTGCTTTATATAACTTGTTTACTTCAAATGGTATTATGTCCCAATACCAATTCAAAGTAACCTCTTCAATCCCTTCCTTTCTCCCAACATATTTCTCCAATCCTTAGGAAATATAAGGATTTGTAAAATTGTAGTTAGGATGCTAATGAAAAGGATATAGAGATGGGTCTGAAGGGAACATCATATCCAGCTCACTAGAACTCTGCCTATCTGTATAATTTTCCCAACGGGAACAATTGAATGCCCCAGTTTCCATCATTTTGGGAAAGTATAGCTTATGATCCAAGTCTGGATCTGAATTTCATATCTCTACCCTAAAACTACATTAGCACGACATCTTTGCAATGCATTTCTTGATATATTTTTTCATTTAACAAATTGGTAGTAGAGCATGTCATTTCCACTGTTTGTGCAATGGAAATCTTCTCAACCCAGGGACCTCTTAGGATACAGATAGCTATGCCTCATTATCTTTATATAAACATGCATATATTAAAGCACCAGTATTTAGAACTGCATAACTATCATCCTGGTTAGATACCTTTAGCTGCTAGGCACTCAATAAACTTCTCTTTATCAAAAAGAACATATGTTACTGATGAGCAGACACTGTAGCTCTACAGAATCTAAGGGCTATTCTACGTATGGGTATTTTTTATTAGTATCACTAGTATAAACTATTCAATTGCTTAAAATGGTTTAAGTTTATGTAGCCAAATCAGGTATTTTACCCAATTAAGGCAAACTAGTTGAATCACAATGTAAACTAGTTTAAATGCATTTGTACTGGGCATCTTAAATTGACTGAATTACATTAGTATAATTTTCTATAGACAAGCCCTTAAGTAATTAAAATCTGATGCTTAGATGATTCTGATTCTACCATTCCCTCCGGAACAATATAAAAGTTCTAACCTCTCTTTTGCATATAATATTACTGTCCAACATCCTTATATCTCCCAGAAAACCCTAAGACTCTCTCATTCTCCATAGGTTGATAGGTGTTAATTGTTGTAGTGTCATTTCCTGTTCTTCAGACTTGTAGATGATACTACTTCTAAAACGTTCTACTTTTCCATTCAAAATACCTCACAAATGTGTCTTAAAGGAAATCCCATTAATCCCATGACATGTAGATAAATTTCATTTCACATTTTCATTGACCACACCATATTTTGAAGCACAGAAGTTAAGAGCCATGAAGTCAACCTCGGAGGGAAAATAAGGAGAAAACTTTTCTTCATTTCTTTCCAGCAAGGAAGAAGGGGGAAATCCCTTGTCATTAGGCCTGTGTGAATAGGGAAGTATTCGATTTGGATTTAGATTTGGCTGATTCAGATGACAGTGGTTCGATTTGGAGATTCGGATCACTGTCCTGAATCAATTCAGCCAAATTAGACTTCATAGATTTCATAGACTTTAGAGCTGGAAGGTACCTCAAAAGATCATTGAGTCCAGCCCACCGCCCAAAGGGCAGGAAGTCAGCTGGGGTCATAGGATCCTAGCAAGATAAGCATCCAATTTGCTCTTGAAGGTGTTCAATGTAGGTGCTTGAACCACCTCCGATGGCAGGCTGTTCCAGACTTCGGGGGCTCCGACAGTAAGGAAATTCTTCCTTATGTCCAGCCTGAAATGGTCTTGTAGTAGTTTATGACCATTTGACCTCGTCATCCCTTGGGGTGCTCTGGTGAACAAATGTTCCCCCAAGTACTGGTGGTTACCCCTGATAAGCTTCTAGGTGACCATCAGATCACCCTGAGCCTGCGCTTTTCCAGGCTAAAGAGCCCCATGGCTCTCAGCCTGTTGTCGTAAGGTCTGTTTT